CATCATAATACACAATGACAACGTGGTTATGGTTCCTTGTCCACATACATAGGCTGTGATCAATTACTTCCTTCTCCTTTCAGGTTTTTGCACCTTAGGACCCTTGTTCTATCACTTCTCCTCAACTCCAATTTCCTTGCAACTTGTGGTTTGTTTGTCTTCATCATCTTCTTCTTTTGTAAAATTTTGGGTCAAGATTAGAGTTGCCATTCATCATTAGAATAAAACCAAATTATTAGGAAATGGTACAATATACTCAACTATTTTAAGAACCTTTGGAGTAGTATGCACAAATGTAGCAGGTACATTGTCAGATGATGCAACAGGTGCACTCAAAATATAGTTAGGTATATCTTAAGTTTGTGAAGTTGCAACGGGTCCAAATGTTTTAATAGGTTGTGAAGTTGCAACAGGTTCAGATGATGTAACAATTTGTGAAGATGCAATAGATACTGATGATGTAACAAGTTTATTTTGTGCAGATGATGCAACAGGTTCAGTAACAACAAGATCAGATTATGTTTGAGTTGCCTCAAATGCTGCTGGAAGATTTGCAGCAAGCATTTCAAACTCAGGGTCAACTTCAATTTGAGTCTCAACTTGAGTCTCGGTAGTTTGAGTCTGACTTTGTCCTTAAACTGATGCAGATTGAGTTTGACTATGTCCTTGTCCTGATGCAGTCGTCTTTTGGATTTCTCTAGATAAACAAAGAATAGTCAAGTAATTCACATTAACAATGATAATAGTAAGATATGCAAACTTATAGCAAATTCAATACCTTGCATTTTTTAGCTTCAGGGTCAACCACTTGACTAGTACAACTTCTTGCATTATGGCCATGTACACCAAATCTAGTGCAACAATAAGTGGTTTGTGTTTTTACTTTATTAGGGTCCTCATTAGGTTCCCTCTTCCTTAACTTCTTTGGTCTGCCAGGTCTTCTTTTATAGGCTGGGGGCAACATCTCTTCCATGTCAACCTCTGGCCACATGTCTTAGCCATTAATAGGACTTACACTAAAACTATAGCATTTCTCACAGGTTTCCCTGAAATAATAGTCATCAACATAATCTCCTGGGCATTGGTTCCTAAAACCTAATGCAGCTACTATATGTCTACAAAAAATGCCCACAAGTTTCTAAAAACTACATGTGCGAGTTTTATTTGTAATATCCACAATGAAACTATTCTCGGTATGTGTATGTTTCACTTGCCATAATGTATCACCAGACTAGTTAGGAATCCAATTCCCTGCATGTTCCACTTCCTTATCCAACCTGAGTCTAGGCCCAAGCATTATCCTATGATTCCATCTATCAACCCTTTATCTTAAGTTTGCATTCCTATTCATGAGATAGTTTCTTATACATTCACACATAGTTAATATTGGTTTATCCTTTGAAACTAAGATAATTCTATTAAAAGCCTCAGATACACTATTCATTAGAACATCATATTTAGGATAAAAAGAAAATGCATGCTTACACCATGCTTTGGTAGGTATGCCTGACATCCATTCTCAAGCCTTCACATTGAGCTCTTTCATCTCTTTCGTTTTAGCCTCCCATGCTTAGACATATGTGGCTTTGGCAGCTTCCATCATCAGGTTTCTAATTTATGTACCTCCACCAAACTTCTTTTTAAAATTGGCATATAAATTCCTAAGACAAAGTCTATGTTTCACCCTCTCAAACAATTCTTCAAACACTAGTATCAAACCCTGCAAATTTTGGGATGAAATACAAAAACAACTTAGCATGGTCAGGGATGAAATAAAAAAATGAATAAAATCAGGGATGAAATCTAAAAAAATTACATAATCAGGGATTAGAAACATAACAACTACCTTTTGTTGGTCAGAGATAAAAAACCATCTCTTATCTTGACCGATGTCTTCCAGAAACAATGTTAGGAACCACCTCCATGACTCTTTTGTTTCAGTTTCACATACACCAAAGGAAATGGGAAATTATTGTTCATTTGGATCTCTACCAACTACAATGAGGAGAGTCCCTTCATACTTTATTTTGAGATGACATCCATCAACACCAATGAATGGCCTACAAGAGGTTGTAAGTTCCTTTTTAAGCCCACCTAAGCAAAAGTAAAATCTGCCAAACCTTGGTTGTATTGATGGCCCAACCCTTGTCAGATTAATTTTGCAAGTGTTCCCAACATTGACTCTCCTTAGCTCTGCAAAATATCTCCATAGAATATTGTACCATTTCACTGCATCACATTCTACAAAAGCTTTTGCAATTTGTTTTTCCTTCCATGCTCTGCTCATATTTATACCAACTGAAAAGTTACTCCTAATCTCAGTCGCAATATCTTGAATTTTAACACCATCTGAAGAACCCATTCTAGCAGCCACAATTTTAGCAACCCACTTGGAAGTGGCAGAGCTATTGTTTATTACCCTACCACACATGTGTGTTCCAAACTATTTCTTTATTCTATACGTGTGCTTATTCCCAACTTTACTTATAAGTGTTAAAAAAAACCACATTTGCCCTTGCAAATTACCCTTACTCTAACTTTGTCATTTTTCACAAACTTTATTTATCTACCATTCAATATTGACCATTCAGTTATTGCCTCCTTAAATTCTTCAAGTGATACAAACTCTAATCCCACTTTAAACTTGTAATTCTTGTCCAACTCATGCATCTTAAACCTTGAATATTTTGGTTCATTTTCTCCATCAGAAGCATCAGGGTCACTACTACCAAGTTCATCACTTGCATAATTGACGTCCAACTCATTAATCACACCACTAAATGACCCTGCATTATCAACACCAATTGATACTTTATTTGGAGTATACTTGTGCTTCCTTGCTGCAACTTTTATCCTACCACTTTTACCAACATCTTCAGTTTCATTTCAACAACATCAAAACAATCATCCAACCCAAGAGCGCTCTCATCCTCACTATCGTCAAATGATAAACCATCAACTACAAAGTCATTATCCTCACTGTCATAACTATCCTCACTACCCTCATTTACTTCAACTTGTTCCATACTTGCTCCATCCTGTCCATCTTGCTCATCTTGCCCACTTACACTAGATTCTTCATCTTGCCCATATACTTTTTGTTGCTCCACACCACCAACATTATCTACTTCAACATTCTCTTCAACACCAACATCACTACCATCTTGCCCATCTTGCTCTACACCACCAACCTTATCTACTTCATGTTACTCCACACCACCAACATTATCTACTTCAACATTCTCCTCAACACCAACATCATTACACACTTCATCTTGCTCCACACAACCAACATTGTCTACTTCGTTCCCTACTTCGTGTTGCTCCACACCACCAACATCATTACCTTGTTCAGCTATTACTGCATTGCGTTCACCTTTATGCTCTACATATGCACTGCGAACTTCATTTCCATGACATATTGATATACATTAGTAGCATCTGTGTCATTAACCATTCTACTATACCTATCAATATCATTGTTATACCATCATAACCAATAATCAGTATGCTCGAGCTCAATTAACTCTTTCACAACACCTATTGCTTCAAATAAGCTCCACCTATCAGGATCTATTTCCACTGCATGCTCGTTTCCCCCGTGTAATATACTAGGCAATCCCTATCAAATTTACTCCTATAATGAACAATCAAAGAGAACTCCATGGATGAGTATTCGTACCTTCATTTTGAAATCTACTACATGCGATACCCGTTGGATGATCTTGATATCAACATTTCGCCATCTTCATCTTCCACAACAGTTTCAATGAAGTGTTTCTATTTTTTTGCTCAAAAACCCTAATTTGCATGGACCAAACACGAAGCATGTTTTATGCACACTTTTATATTTTTTGTGGGAAATTTAGAAATTCCATGTAGATATGTTCATAAGTAAAAAACACACATAAGTCATTTCCATGTAAACACAGTTGACAAAGTCAACGTTTTTTTAACAGAAAACTGAAGAGACTAAATGCAATGCAAAATTAAATTATAAGAATCCTGAAAAAAAAATAATACAGAGACTAAATTTAAAATATTACTAACTTACATGAACTAAATGACTATTTAAACCTTTATATTTTTACTTATACTAAATTCAAACAACTATAATACTCTTTCCAACAAAATCTCAAGACTAAATTTAAAATCTTACTAACTTACATGAACTAAATGACTATTTAAACCTTTATATTTTTACTTATACTAAATTCAAACAACTATAATACTCTTTCCAACAAAATCTCAAGAAAAAAAAAGATCGTAACAAACATAACTTCACCAAAATAACACTTCCAAAATGAGGAACAAGCATTCATGCATTTGTGACAAGAGAGACAAACATCCAAGAAATTGATTATTATTCTATATTTGATCCTTCCATGATTCCATCATTTATGTTGTTTTGTTGTTTCAAATGTTTTAAGTTTCCATTAAGAAAAACATGACAACAAGATATTAACATTAATTGAATTTGCTTCAATGTTTTTGTCTCACATTAATTTTTTAATTAATAATGCAATTTATGCAAGTGTTTATATATATATATATATATATATATATATATATATATATATATATATATATATATATATATATATATATATATATATATATATATATATATATATATATATATATATATATATATATATATATATATATATATATATATATATATATATATATATATATATATATATATATATATATATATATATATATATATATATATATATATATATATATATATATATATATATATATATATATATAAGAGATATATATATAGTGGGCCAATTATATAAAATATGGAACAAAAGTGTATTTACGTTTTTCTTAATTAATGTTATTTAAAAAAAAATTGTTTTAAACAAAAAAAAAGAAGCAAACTTTAAACCCTACTCCGAAACACAAAGAGGCTCGATCAAAGAGGTCTTCATTGGATATATTGAGTTGGAGTTGCAGAAGAACCCTAACGGTAACCGAAAGCAACCATGGCGATGATGCAAGGGGTTCAAAAGAACACCCTCTACGTTGGAGGTTTAGCGGAAGAGGTCAACGAATCCATTCTTCACGCAGCGTTCATACCATTCGGAGACATTAAGGATGTCAAGACTCCTCTTGACCAAGCCACTCAGAAGCATCGCTCTTTCGGCTTCGTCACTTTCCTTGAACGGGAAGACGCTTCCTCCGCCATGGATAATATGGACGGTGCTGAACTCTATGGTCGCGTCCTCACCGTTAATTACGCCCTTCCTGAAAAAATTAAGGGTGGTGAACAGGGATGGGCTGCTCAACCAAGTAATGAATCTCTTATTCTTCTATTTTCTTTATCTATGTGTTATTCTGTGTTTTGATTTTGTTTATGGTATGGTTTTGAGTAATAAATTAGGTTTTTTTTTTTATAGAATAGATGTATTGGGGAATTGCTTAGAATGGATGCATTGGGGAATTGCTTAGAATGGATGCATTGAGGAATTGCTTAGAATGGAGTATTTAGTGTCTTTCATTCAGGGTTTGATAAAGTTGATTTTGTATTAGATTTTATTAGGTTAAATTGAATAGTGGCGCCATAGCCACTATGGCGGATATACATGGTGGTTTTTGGACTCGTTGATATTGCATGTTTTCCCACCATAATCAGCTATAACAGCGCCGTGAATGGCGGGATTTTACCCCTCCGCCATCGACAGCACTGGCACCAATGCAGTTTATGAATCCTGGTTATTTTAATTAATAAACAAGTGATATAAGTAATGAAAGAGTGCGATGTCTTGGTTGCTTCTTAACTGTCGTTATAGGACTGTTTAGGATTAAAAAGAAAATACAAGTTTGATGATGATTCATTTTTAAAGCTATATATGCAGATAGAAAGTAAAATGGTCTCAAATCTCTTGGTTCAATTATTTCTATTGTGTGTTTGACTGAATTTTTTGAATTTTCAGTTTGGGCTGATGCGGATACTTGGTTTGAGCGGCAGCAACAGGAGGAGGACATGCGCCGCCTGGAAGCAGAGAACAAAGCTGCAATGCTGGCTGCTGAAGAACTGCACAGGAAGCAAGTAGCCGAAGAGCGAGAAGGAGAGAAAGAGGAAATTGAGATTAAGGATGATCCTATGGCAAGGGCTGAAGCAGAGGTTGTTGGCAATTGAGACCAAGGATGATTCTTTGGCAAGGACTAAAGAAAAGGTAGTTCAACAGAGACCAATAACTTGTTATTTATGAATCAGAAGGAGCATTTGGTAATGGAAGCTGATGCACTTTTTAATTTGTTCAGCTCATCTGTAATGTGGATATATCTGATGCGCGGCGAGACTAAGTCCTACAGATTATGAAACTGGATAGCTAGGGGAACTTGTCAGTGAAGTTAAATCATGGATTTTCATCTTTCCATTGTCTCACTTGTATTGCGAAAGCTCTCCCATTTTGCTGTATTGAAAATATGAATAATACTACTATAATCATAGTTTTGTGATATTTTACATTTTGGACATGTTTGATTTGAGAAATATATTTAGGAAGAATTTTGCCTATGCGGTACGGGTAGCAATAAGATTTCAGGCTACAGAAGAGTATTTCTTAAAAATAATTTTCAAAACTTTTTGGAATGAATGACCCTTTTATAGGTAAAGAAGATTTCTGGATTGGAACTCAGCACAATCTTAATATCAACTGATGGTAATTAGCAGTGCCATTCTACAGGAAGCAATTGGCATTCAAAAGCCCTTGACTCTTCACTTCTTCAAACCACCATATATTCAGAGGCAGCTATGTTCACTAATCAAATCCTAATAATCAGCTTGCTTTTATGATTTTATTACTGCAAACACACTGTGACAAAGCTGAACACATTATATTAGGTCAATACTCAACCGTCATTTTAAACTTTTTCAAATGCAGAAACATACATACATCCTAATCATGGGCACTTATTGATAGTTTTAGTGCTGACAACTCATAAAAATAAAAAGAAGGATAATTCAAAAATTTAAAACAATGAACATTGATATGTGGTTATCATTTGTTCTACATGCCAAAAATAATTTGTGCTAATGCAAAAAAAGACAACGTGCATTTGATTCTCCTTAGTCCTAATATAGATGGAATCTGATTATTGGGCTATCTTGTATTTAAATTAAAACTACCTTATGCTGAACTCAACGATAATAAGTAGGATTGAACAGCATATGACAAATCCGTGAATCAACAAGTTACAAGTGAAATGTTGGAACTTAGAATATAATCTTATTTGTGAATCAAATACATGGGAAGAAACGAAATACAACGAAGGTAAAGTTGATAAAAAATGGCATGCTTAAAACTGAATGACCCAAGTGTCAACTTTATTCTCATTTTGCACATGTCCATCATCTTAAATCATTTCACACTTAGTTGCTCTGGCACTGGCAGCATGGTAGAATTCTATATATGACATTGGAGTAGCAGTCAGACATGGTAAAGAACAGTAACAGATTTGCTGAATGAAGCCACTAGAAGGGTAGCACAGGCATGTGAAAAAAACAGTGCCAACTCAACCATAGCAAGATAAATTCACTGTTTAAATTTCATTGGAAAACTTTTTTGTTTCAGAATTGTATCACAAAGCTTCACCGCATCTAGATTATCTTTAACATTATGCACTCGAACAATATTTGCACCACACAACACGCCCGCGGTGACAGAAGCAATGGTAGCGGGGTCCCTCTCGACCGCAGAAGAGCGAGAGCAAATTTCACCTAAAAATCGCTTCCTTGAGGGCCCAATTAGTATAGGAGCATGAGAGATGGCCAAACTTCTTTTTGAAATCTCTTCTCTAATATCAGGTATTCCCATGAGTACCTCTAAATTGTCTTCGGTTTTCTTTGAGAATCCAATTCCAGGGTCCATAATAATCCTCCATGCCGGGATTCCCGATATTTCTGCCTCTCTAACCCGCGAGTATAATTCCGATGATATATCCTTGCAAACGTTATCATATTTCAGGTTTTCACTATCCTGCATTGTACTCGGGTCACCCCTCATGTGCATTGCGACATATGGAACATCAAGCTCTGCCATGACCTTAAACATACTTGCATCTAACTTTCCGGCAGATACATCGTTTATAATATGAGCCCCTTTACGTACTGCTTCTAATGCAACTTCAGAGTAGAAAGTATCCACAGATATGAGTTTTCCTTCTACCTCAGGTATTGACATTACAGCTTCCAGGACAGGGATTAATCTACCTAATTCTTCTTCGACAGAGATCCTTGATGCCATTGGCCGAGTAGACTGAGCACCAATATCAATTATATCAGCACCCTCTGCTATCATTAACCGAGCCTGCAAAACAGCAGACTTCACAGACTGAAAATTCCCCCCATCACTGAAACTATCTGGAGTCAAATTAAGAATCCCCATGACCAATGTTCTTCCCGACCAATCAAGTAAACCATTAGCAACAGGCATTACCCTATACATACCCTCCTCTCCAATAAGGGATTCCCCTCCTAATTTTTCCCATAATGCATTTAGTCCACCAGAATGGCCTGAAAATGAATGCCAGCTAGCAACTGTATCACTGTCAATAGCTGTTCCCAGTAAATCCATCAAAGGGGCCATGACAAACGGTCGTTCCCAAATTCTTTCGTGAGGTACTGTGAGAATATCAGATCTGACTTTAAATTTACCATAGAACAAAATGTCTAAGTCAATTGGCCTTGGACCATACCTTATACCGTCAGTACGGCCCATGCCCTTCTCGATTCGTTTGAGTGCAGACAATAATTCATGTGGCCCGAGTTTAGTAACAGCTCTTACTGCTGAGTTGAGGAAGTGAGGTTGGTCAGTAACATACGCTGGTGCTGTCTCATACAGACTTGCATGTCTTGTGATGTGTATGCCTGACTTCCTCATCAATTTCAAGGCTTCCTTGAAGTTATGTAGTCTATCACCTACATTACTTCCCAAAGCAATCACTACTTCTTCCTCTTGAGTGTGAAGTTCAATAGAGGAGTTTGGGGCTGTGTGAAAAGAGGGAAAACCCAGCACTGCAATGCAAATAAAAAACCATGTTTTGTCGATAATATGCCAAAACTGATGAACACTAATAAACTTTCTTCTAGATTGATTGTATCTTTCATTTGGAAACATTGGCGAAACAAAATCTAGTTTATATACTGTCTATGGCATATAAAGCTGAAAGAAACTATTTATAATCGCATAGGTTATAAGACATTGTAGGGAAAAAGAAACTACTTTCACTGCATATCTTCACCCCTGAGTATCAATAGATAACAATGTTTGGGTTTAAGAACCTTACACAATGGGAAAGTAAATTCACTTAACTAGGGCCAGCTCTATAAAACAAGGCCTTAAAAATGTGCAGTTAATAAAAAAATTAAAATATAGTTTAATCATCTTAATTATAACCCTCTCTTAAATACTATTTATTCAGCTGATTAGTTGCAACAATAACTCAATAAGTAACTTTATATATCAAAAAGTTCAAAGAACAATCTTCAAATAAAACTACAGTCATTTTAATCTCTAAATACATCATCCTACTTTTTCCCTTATCAAACCTAAATACCTTAAGCAAGCCCTGTCAGGCTGTCACTGACACAGACATAAAACTGTTTACCATCACCACATCAAATGGACCACAAACTTCAGTTCAATCTTACTTACACTCCTAAATTAGATCATAGAAATTTCAGGGTTATACACAAAACAGCAGCCTACTTAAGATCATTTGTTAACATTACCTTTAAGATAGTTTCTGGCAGCATAGAGCTGACTCCTGCACGCACCCAGGCACTTAAGTATACTCATCTGAGAGAGGCTTACGGAAGTGTATTGAAGCCAATATCCTGACCTTCTTCAGCTGGTTCACAGACATCACCCATTAATCACAAGAGAAAAAAAAAATCAGAAAGAATTCACATTTCTCCAGAAATCAAATTTCTATTGAAACTTCATGCAAAAGCAATTAAAAACAATAAGTCATTAATCTATTCCATTCCATTGAATGACTAAAAGCAGCCAAAAAAATTATAGCTAATAAAATTGCACTCCATAAGCTTGACTTATTACTAACATGGTACATCAAAAAAAAAATCTAGAATCTATTGAGGCATTTTATCAAACACATGGGGAGCAGAAGCACAAAGTATAACTATACACACGTTGTAATTACCCTGTTTTTTTAAGCTACCAAATCAATCAGCTGATTAAGTAACAACCCTTTTTCATAATTGGGTTAGAGGAGCAAAATCCTGAGAAAAAAAAAAAAAAAACTAAACTAACCAAAAACGACACAGTTTCTTTATAGTTGGTTTTAACAGAGGCATGTGAAGTTAACACATGTTATGCCAAAACGACATGTTGTCGAATACCCTTATCTCTTTTAAAACCCCTTGTCGTTTTGGTCATTGTTAAACCCTTCACTTCTTTCTCGCTCTAAAAAGAAAACTAACCTCTGTTTGTAATTCGCGCTCTCCTCCAATGTCGTGTATTTCCTTTTCTCAGTTTCTTCCACTTCCCAGGTTCGCTCTAAAAAGAAAGACTTTTTTTTTTTTTTTTTCAATTTTAGTTTTTTGAATGTCAGTGTAAAATTCATGTGCTGGTCGAGTGCGAATTATAGTTTGTAAGTGTTATCTTTGCAATTGTGCAGGTGCCATTTGAGTTGGTCTCATTGCTATGCATCTTTAAAAGTAGTGCAACTTGGGGAACTTAGGGTTCAGTGTAAACCTGGTTATGTGGCAATGGCTAGGAAGAAAGCTTCACTAGGCTCTGTTGAAGAAGAACCTAGTGAAAACGAACCTGTGGTTGAAAAGAAGGTAACTAAGGCATCTAAAGCAAAGAAGGTGACTGCAAAGAAGGTGACGGCAAAGACGAAGAAAAAACCAATAGCTGAGTCTCCTGAAGAGACAATTGATTTGTTGGTAAGTGAAGGTAATGGTTCTAGTGAAGAAGGTTTATCTGCTTCTAGTGATGGTTCCAAGAAGAAAACTCGAAAGAGTAAGAAAAAAGGTAGTTGAAATTCTTTATCTTTTGTCAATGCTGAGAATTTTATCTTTTTGCTTCTTGTGTGTTAGTTAGTTATAAAGGTTTATATGGTTTATAGCTGCATCTAGTTCTGCTGGTTTGGAAGAAGAGAAGGAAGTTAAGGAAAAGAAAAAGGTTACGAAACGGAGGAAACCTAAAGAGGAGAATGTGATATTAGCTGATAAAGACGTTGTTGCTGAAGGTGAAATTAGTGACCAAGATGAGCCTTCCTTTATTGAAATTAAGGATGATGAGATCGACGATGGTTTGGATCTGATTAAAGATGATGGAGAGGACATTAGCTATACGTACGGTTGGCCTCCTCTTGTTTGTTGCTTTGGAGCTGTGCAACATGCTTTTGTTCCTTCGGTTAGGCCTGCCAATAGGCTTATAAACCATGAAATCCATGAAAGAATGAAGGAAGTTTTATGGAGCCCTGACAAATTTGTTAGGGCTCCTGGGGGATCTGCAGGTAATGTTGCCATTGCTCTTGCAAATTTGGGCGGCAAGGTTGCTTTTATGGGAAAACTTGCAGATGATGATTATGGTCGAGGATTGCTGTATTATATGAATACAAATAAAGTTCAAACACGATCGGTTCGTATTGATAGTAAAAGAACAACAGGTGCGTCGGTGATGAAGATTGGTAAAAGGAAACTTAAAATGAGTTGTGTGGAACCTTGTGCTGAAGATTGTTTGACAAAGTCAGAGATAAATATTGATGTGTTGAAAGAGGTATGAAACTTGAAACTCTGTAGAAAAGGATTTAAGTAAATGGTGTTCTCTGTAGCCTATAGGTTCTAGCCTTATCATTGGGGATATTGCAGCATTATTGGATATTGCAACATTATTAAACTTGAAATTGATATTTTTTTCTACATTCGATGGAACCGTATTTTTTAGTTGCGAAATTGGAAGATCCTACCAATATGCTTTTTCATCATCTTGCATTTCTTCTATTTTATTGTACTATATTTTACAATGATAATGTTTGTCGAAATGGTGTGTCATTGATTGCCATATAAGATATTGTTTGGACACAGAAGCTTCGGTAGCATGCGATAAACCATCATTTCTAAAAAGTAATGCTGTTTGGTGAAGGCTCGCAAATTGCTTGCTTGTATGTTAGGTTCTCTGTATAGTTCATGCTTCTACTTAGTTTTATTGCTTTTAGCTGTTTGAGAGTTTAGATTGTGCTATTGAGTGTTTTAATAACATCTCGTGTAGGCAAAAATGTTCTACTTCAACACACATTCCCTCCTTGATCGTAACATGAGATCCACGACATTGCAAGCTATCAAGATCGCGAAGCATTTTGGAGCGGTTGTTTTCTATGATGTAAACCTTCCTATGCCACTATGGCACTCTCAGGAAGAAACTAAGACTTTCATTCAGAAAGTGTGGAATCTTGCAGACATCATTGAAGTCACTAAGCAAGAACTAGAGTTCTTATGCGGGATCACACCGACTGAAGAATTTGACACCACAAACAATGACAGGTCAAAGTTTGTCCATTATGAACCCGAAGTGGTTGCGCCACTATGGCACGAAAGTCTTAAGGTTTTGTTCGTGACTAATGGAACTTCCAAGGTACATTACTACACTGCTGAGATTGACGGCGCTGTTCAAGGGATGGAGGATCCCCCAATTACCGCTTTCACTTGTGACATGTCAGCATCTGGAGACGGCATTGTTGCAGGTACATATTTTTTCATTAATCCATTTGAAAACATAAAAGAAACCACTCTGAAATAATGCTGAAATCATGTTCCCACAATTATGAGAAGAAACGTTTGAAATGTGACGCCTTTCTAGCATCAATTCACGTGAGTTTAACTGTCTTTTTATGATGGAACATCTCTCTACAAGCTAATTCACTCTTATTTATGAGTTCTCTTATTATCTTTTCAGGTATCATGCGAAAGTTGACGCTTGAACCGGATTTGATAACTGATAAAAGATACCTGGAGCAAAGCATTATGTATGCAATTAATTCTGGGGTTATAGATCAATGGATACAGGGTCGAGCGCGCGGCTTTCCTCCAAAGGAAGGTATGGAGGACGACATCACTCCCGATCAATACGGCATAAAGTCGATTACAGAAAGAGAGTACCGGACAATATTAGAGTCAATTAGTTGAACCAGGTGGTATAACCAAGTAACATCAGTTTTGTACCTTAAATTTCTCATAGTGAAATTCTCTTAATCTCTTGTATAGGAAATTCTGTTTCATTTATTTATTTGCTTAGGTTTTTCTATCTCACTTTTGACTGTACCAATTTGTTATACACATTTTATCCCTTGAAATTTCAATTGTTTAACACCTTTAAAATCATGGTTTTGGCACCATACTTTAGGTAAAAGAACAGTGAGATTTATCTTCATTTGCAATTAAGTCAAGAGTTATATGTCTAGTCCCTTTGTCTGAAAATTTTATCAAATATTAAAGAGATTTGATATGTGAATAATTGCACCAATAGCCACAAACACCAAAAAAAAAAGTATATCCATAACTAAACCTGATTTTCTTTCTAAATTAGAAACAAAAGAGACCATCATTATAACTAATAACCCAAGGAGGATTTAGAAGGAAATTGGAATAATGCTCTCAACTTTTATTGGTCGCTCACAAAAATTATACCATACTTCTCCAAACAACCTCCTAGTAGAGAGCATAAAAGGGAAGAAAAAAACAAAGACTTTTTCTCCAAAACAAAATAAATATGCAAGATCAACATGTGCCAAATCCCTTAACACTACATACAAACTTACACTTCTGCTAGGGACTTCATATACCAATTGTTCAAGTCGGAGTCTTCTAGTTTTGTGGCGGCCAACTTATCCAAAAACCACACCAACTTCCCGTTAGCTGGTTGGACCATTCTTCCTGGTATTGACAGGCAATCAGGTCCGGTCTCATCTACTGCCAACAGTACAGCATCTGCTTTGCTTTCACCTGCTGCGACCACTGCCACGTTGGACGCAGAATTGATAACAGGCAAAGTGAATGTGATTCTCTCAGGTGGGGGTATAGGGGAGTCAGTAATAAAAGTTACCCATTCTTCTCTTTCATCCAGTGCTGGGTGATTTGGAAATAGAGATGCAACATGTCCATCAGTACCCAGTTCAAGCAGAATGAGATCGAATTTTGGGCAGTCACTAATCTCAGACACGTTGATAACACGGGTTCTCACTAACTGTCGGATGACAAACTCATAATCATCAGCAGCTTCTTCTGCTGACACAGAATCATTAATAGAAACCGCGTGACTGGGGACTATAGGCACCTGTTGATTTAACAAGCATATCAGCAGAGGAACCAATTAATATATTAATTAATGACAAAATCAAGGCAGGTACAAGTTAACATCAGATACAAGTGCACAATATCTTTAATATGAATCTTGGAACAGAACAAAATATGAGCACAAATGCACAGAAGATAATACTAAAGACATAAACTTAAGCCTGATTATTTCATTTTAAAGATCCAACTATACAGGGTTTCTCTAATTCTACAGCTTGAGTATATTCATCATTCAACTAACATCTCATAAGTCACATTAAGCTTTCTGAAAAGTTTATAGTAAAAATCCTATTCCTTTTCTAGCTGATCTATATAAAAAACAAGTGGAAAGACATATATAATTGATTGCAAAGCATCATGTGAAGCCTTGTAGATCTTCAGGCCAAAAGTTATTTGACAAAGGCTTTTTCCTTGGAACCTGTTGGAAATATATTGGGATCTTTGTAATTATTGTATAGACATGTCATTTCAGTTAAATATGAAAAGTATCTTCTATACTTGTTCAGTATTTATTGCTTGAGCCTATACAAAACAAACTCCTTTGTATAGTTCAAACACGGTTTCACCATCTCATGCCTTTGCTCTATCTAATTCAACAGAACAAACTTTTTTTTCAAGTCAAGCAGCATTGGCAAAGAATCCTTTAAATCTGGATCAAACAAAAATCTTCAGAGTCAACTAAATGAATCTATCCTCTGTGCTTTGGTTAAGGGAACTCATATGGTGTTGGCTTACCGAAGTAAAAAATACTGAAACCATCGCCTTCAAGCATTATTGTTAATTGATAGGGTGCTCAGAACTTTAGATACCTTTATTATGAAATAAATATCTGGTTTAGAAGCAGAATTGACAGCCACCTGGCTGTTATAGGAGGGGCTTGGAAAATATTGGTGTTCTCAATTTGAAGTTTTCATAAAATGTGATCATCAATCTTATTGGAAGAAATTGGCAAAAAGTCCCAAAACACAATTAAGTTGGATACAGAATATATCCAGTTGAATCTAAGCCATTAAAAATGAAATCATATTCGTTATACGCCTCGGTTAAAGTATGTCTTAACACACTGACAAACAAGCTGTTATCAAAAATCATCTCTTGTCAGGGTAAAATCCTATTCTTAACCTGCTCAACTGCAGAAAGAAGTGACCTAAGTAAAATTAAAAAAAGATTTTATTTCATTTACCCAACAGGCCAACCCGCCCCGTTTTCAACGGCGTAGGCGGGCCAACTAGTAGCAGCAAGTTCAAATCTCAACTCACCCTGTCAAAATGGCGGACTAAACGGGTCAAACCGACAGTCTAATCCATTTTTCCATCCCTACTCAGAACCGGTCACCTTGTTAAAAATCAACTCCCTTTGCCTATTTTGTTATGTTTTCCCTTCTAAAAAGTTGTCACAAAAGAAGGTAATTTAGTATAGAACAGTTTAATGCTTGCATTACTTTCCTCCAAATGAGTCTCAGAGTAAACCAATCTTTATAAACACCAATGAAATGGTAAAAACATAAGATAGTTGAATCGAGGGCCAACCTTAGACAAAAACACATCTTTAGCATGCTTAAAACAGCTATCCTCGTGACTTTTCGACACAACACACTCGTCAGCCCAAAAGATATACCACTTGGTCCAATCCACTGTCTTGTTATATGGAGGTTGCAAGAGTTTTCTGTTTGAACCAATAACTTTTTAACCTAACACCAAATCATAAAATCATAGAAACATTACATGAAAAAGATTAAGATACATATACCCCATTAAATCAATGAGAGAACCACCAGATATAGCAAGAGTAAAAAATCCATGCTCCTGCACAGCTACGTCCGACACATCCGCAATGTACTCGGCCAAAACAGTCTTCACCTCATCCTCACTGTCATAAACCCTCAACTCTCCTCTATTCTTATGATCACCAGAGAGAGCCATGGTTTGAAAAACTTCAATAGCTCTAGTACAAAACCAACACAAAGAAAAAGGCAGAATCAGATAATCAAAACAATTTCATATAGAAATAATAAAGAATTGAAACACTAAGCAATATATAGCTGAGTGTACTAAATTTGAAATTGAAACATAGACAAACAAAATCACTGGACACGACACCGACACATCAACACCGGTAATAATTTGAAAATACAAATAAATTAAAGTAATCACAAGTGTCATTGTAGAGGTGTCAGTGCAGACGCTTCTAAATCTTAAACACATATATAGAATTCCAAAATTGTTCAAGATCCTTCTTTCACAGATTAAAACAAACAGATAATAGACATAGTTATAACTATAAGATGAATTTACTATTTATTTCACTGCATCTTTTCAATGATGAAACTAGGGTATAACAAAAAAAAAACTATAGCTATGAGCAATTGTTTGATAGAATTCAAAATATAAATTATATATGCATGTGGAGTCTCTAATTGTCAAAAGGTACCAACGTGGCAACAAAAATTTCAAGCTATCCATATGAAAAACAAAAATTGATGAAGCAGAGTAGAGAAATGATGAAAAATACAAAACAAGAAAAAGGGCAGAGATGATGATAAAATATGTACAATTGAATTGATTGTAAATAAAGTTGTAAAATATAAAAAAAAAACAATGAAGGTGAATGATGGTGTCATGTGATGCCAGAAGAAGAAAGAATCGATAGGTTTGAGATTGATAGAAGGGAGAAAATGCTTGCTTACTGAGAGAAAAGAAGAGTGGCACACAGAACAAGCTGACAAATGTTAAAAGTGATGGGTACGAACAAGTTTGTTTGTTTGTTTATAACATAATATTATGTTATTATTATAATATTTTTGTGATGATTTGGATTATCTTGGGAGGAACTAAACCATAGTTTTATTCTTTTATTATTATTATTATTATTATTATTATTATTATTATTATTATTATTATTATTATTATTATTATTATTATTATTATTATTATTATTATTATTATTATATTTTAGAATAAAAAAAATATCTTGACAAAAAAGCTCTTTGATAATGATTGTTAAAAAAAAAACTTCTACTCACACAGAAGCATATTTAAAATATAAAAAAACAAATATATTAATAAAAATTCATAAAATTATAATTATAATTTAATTTGTAATTTTTACGATGAGATATTACAAACTCTCGCACACAATTATAATTTTTTAAGAAGAATATTGCAGAAAAGAATTCAAACCCTGCTTTAATTATAATTTTTTTTATAACTCATCTTTCAACTATAATTTTTTAGTAGGAAAATTACAAACTCTTAATAAATTATTTTAAACCACACATAACTATCTAAATTCTCAATATATATAAAAGACTAAATTTTCTTGTTGCGTACAAACTATAACTATTTATTTTTATAATATTAATATTTAGATTCTTGAATGAATATATTATTTGATTCAACAATATCATAATTTTTTTTAAATTAAAAGAATATTTATAAAACTTTTATATATTATTTAGATCAAATTTTTAACTTTTTATGTTTAATTTTATAATGATTTTTTTTCGAGTCATTTAAGTCCTAAATTATTTGCAGAAGATAAAAACTAAAGTTATACTACAAAATAATTATATGTAATTTTTCAGTCTTATGTGATCATTTATCTAATGACAATGAAACTTTTATTGAACATGTATTAGCCGACACGACACGTCTTCTTCTTCAAAATCATATTCTTCCCAAATTTAAAAACTCAAAACAATTAATGCTTGACAAAAAAATCAAATGGCTTAAACCATATATTCAAATTACAACTTTAAGGAATTTCGAAACTTAATGGAAAATGAAGTTGTTCTCCATACTATAACGAACATATGAGGAAATAAAGGGAGAAGATTATAGGACTAGAGGTGACAATTGGATCAATTAAAATAAAATCTATTCAATTTATCTATTAAAAAATTCATCCACCACATAAAAAATAAGTTAATATATTAGATTAAATCTATCCATTTATATGCATAGATGGATTCAATCAATCCAACATATTTTAAAAATTCAATAAATTATTTTAATTTTTGTTAGATTATTATTTTAAAAATAATTAAAAATAAATATTTTAAAAGAAAAAAATTGATTTTTTTTCAATAAAAAAACTGTAAAATTTTCAAAATAAAAAATTGATATATTTTTTCAAAAAAAAAAACGATTTTTTTCTCGAAAAAAAAATCATTTTTTTTCGAAAAAAATCAATTTTTTTCTAAAATAAAAACTGATTTGTTTTTCGAAAAAAAATTGATTTTTTTCCGAAACAAAAGACAATTTTTTTTTTAATAAAAAAAATTTCTCAAAAAAAAAACCGACTTTTTTAAAATACAAAAATCTGACTTCATAATTTTTTTAAAAATACAAAAAATGAATTTTTTTTAAAATAAAATAAAATCGAATTAATATATATATATATATATATATATATATATATATATATATATATATATATATTATATATATATATATATATATATATATATATATATATATATATATATATATATATATATATATATATATATATATATATATATATATATATATATATATTTATTTATTTATTTATTTATTTTTACAAAATAAAAAAAAAGTTGGATGGATGGATTTCCATCCATTAAAAATATGTTAATAGATGGATTGGATGAATTTTATTCTTAATGGATGGATTGGATTGGATAATTTAAAGAAAATTTTAGTGAATTGTTAATAGACTAATGGATTGTTTTAATCCATCAATTAACAATACAATCCATATCCATTCAATCCATCCATTTTGCCACCTCTATTGCAGAGACTGAGTGGTAAGCTCTCGTCATGTTATTGATTTTTTCGGTTTCAATTAGGGTTGTTGTGTTAAAGATAGAGTTACCTAAACTATATGGTTAGTGTTTGCAACATAGTGATAACTTAATGGACCTTTTTATTACACATATTTAACTTGAATAACTACATTTAATGGATGTTTATTTATGCTTTTGAGAAAATCACAATGAATTTGGATGCAAATTCTTTCTGTGTAAATGTGTGATGAGAATATTATTCTAGAACAAATCATAGACACTCAATGTCATGAATGTGTGAAGAAAGATATTGAAGTATCCGAAATAATAATGAAAAATAAGATGCTAATGAAAAAAAAATGACAAGTTTTGCTGAAAATTATGGTTTTTACCTACTTGTCTCTTATTACATTTTGTTGTAATATTGTTTATTTATTATAAGTTTTGTATTAGAAACTTGAAAGCAACAATCTCTTATGTCGGGAGTGGTTATAAGCTTTATTTCAAGCTTATTATATTTGACTCAAAATATAAAAATAGTTCAAACACGATGAAAATGTACCATCTCTTTGATCTTCAATTTCACTTTCTTCATATTGAATTTTGAATTGGCTCAGGCATTAGAGTGGTAACCATGCAGATCTACCCTACATTATCGTAAACAAGATCATAGCCAACATTCAAGATCAATAATTATTCAACTCTCATTATTTTTGGTTCTTTCGTGAAGCTAGAACACCCATTTTTGCTTCCCAAACGGAACAGTGGCACCGTCTTTGATAATCGACTTATGATTTCCGCGTTTCTACGAAAATCACGTTCGCTTCGCAAAACACCATCAAACAAACTCAGAAGTTCCAAATCTGAATTCTTGCGGTTAAGATCCAAATCTCTGATTAGTCAGTTTGTAACCTCTCGAATCTCAGAATTAAGAAGTGCTCAAAATCGAATGTCGAGATTCGTCGCAACCGATTCAATGAATTATCTTCTCAATCGTGAATTTTGTCGTTAAAAGATCATATTTTCTCGAGAAATCCATAGAATAAAAAAAGGGATTTCATATCAAGATCTAAGGTTCCGCTGGGGTATGAATGGGATTTTCATGAAGGTCGATCCAGAAACTCCCAATTCACCTTCGGAACTTATGCCATCCTCGCGACTCCCCCCTGTTAGGTCTCTTACTGAGGCAGTGTTTTTTCAAGATACCACAAGTTTATAGTTAATTACATGCATCAATCCAACTCCGGGGTGCATCACGGGATACCGAAAACACTCAAAAATCATTTCGGATATGATAAACATTGGATCTACTTGAGGTAGAAACTCACTCCAAAATAGAAAATATACCAGGAATTCTCAACCCCAATAAGCGAAAAACGCATCGTCGAAGCAACGAAAATAACAACTTGATAACCCTAAAAATAGAGCCCCCCCCCCCCTAAAAAAAAACGTGTTCAACAAGAAAATGCATTGCGGTCAGACCTCATATATTGATCGTAAAAAAAAGCTTTGGATAGCAAAAAAATATTTACTCAGAGGTCATCGTCAAGGGTATCCACCCTTAGAGTTATTTATTTATAATATTATTAACATGAATATTAGGGTCACCCCAATCAATTCGGGGCCCTGATCTAATTAAAAAAATGGGCCTAAAAAATAAGAATTTATATCGAATTTTTGAAAAATCGACATGAAATTATAAATTTTAAAAACAAAATATAATTTTACACCTATTTTTAATAAAAAGATCTAAAATAGATTTTGAAAACATTATAATTTAACACCTACTTTTAAAAAAGATAGGTGTAAAATGTATAGTTTTGTAAAAATAAATAAATATGTGGGCCCCCAAAATTTTGGGGCCCAAAACTACAGCTCTTATTGCGTCTGCTAAAGATTAGCATATATATATATATATATATATATATATATATATATATATATATATATATATATATATATATATATATATATATATATATATATATATATATATATATATATATATATATATATATATATATATATATATATATATATATATATATATATATATATATTTGACTGAGTTTGGATTTTTCCCGATTATAAAATATGGGGATGGATCGGGTAATGTGAACACTAGTATCCACCCCGAACCAGTCTCATTCACTT